TACTTAAGTTTATTCAATATTTTTATTAGTTTTAGGATTTAGCTTTATTAGGGCTCATTTATCTAAATTCCTTCAAAGGATTTTATACCAAGTAGTCACAACATATATCATACATGTACACATATATAAATGCACACAAACATAGAATTCAGCTAACTGATAAGTTCTCATAGAAAAAACAAGATCTAAAGCACACAACAAAGACCTTACACACACACACACACACACACACACACACACACACACAGAGAGAGAGAGAGAAAGAGAGAGTCTCAATATTAGCTTTTAATTAAGCCAACTTCTGACCATAGATCATAGAGCTGTTTTCTTTAAATTAAAAAAAAAATCTTATTACATTTTAGCAAGGGCAAACAGCAGTATTAAACTGTTTTTTTGTTTTTTGTTTTTTTTCTTTTGAGAATCATTTCCCTCAAGTTTGCATTTTAAATAGAGTGGTTTCTCAGGCAAGACTGGTTAGAAAATTTTCATCTCAAAGGCATAGGGAAAGAAGACAAGTTTTTCCAAGAATGACTTTTGAGGGACATATTTGCATGTTAGGCATCTTGTGTAATCAGTATTCGATTTTTTTTTCCATTTCTTAAGGGCAGGATGGTCTCATTTCTAATGCTTCGATTTTTTACAGTATTTTCAGACATCCTAAGATAAATAACTGCAGTTCAGTGGTTAGCAAGAACAGGTGGGCTTTAAATTTCTATCAAAGAAACATTTCTGTTTTTTTGAAATATTTAACTTGTAAGACAAAGACAGTTGCTTTTAATTCTCCTAAAAACTGTGTGGCAACCTGAATGATATCTAGAAGGTAACTCATACATCCAACAGTATCATCTTTAATTTGTTCTTTTATAACAGGGAGCAGATTTCCAGCTAAGATGTAAATCAAAAGATTTCTCTGTTCTGTACTGAAAGCTGTTTGCTTTTGATATGTTTTAGTAAATTATTTTCTTTTATTCGGAGTATATGGTTCCATTATGCTTAAGGGTGAAGGCTAAACAAACAAAATAACATGTTCCTATTGCATTCTAAATAGAAACCAACATTTTATATCAAAAATATACCTACAAGTGATTTGAGATCAAAATAAAGAAGCATACATGAGACAAAAGCAAATAAACTTTATGACTTTAACCAAGTCTCTAAAGAGGAAGCAAAATAAAATTCAGCCCTTTCAAAATCCAGATAACTTCCGAAGACAGGGAAAGAGAAATAAAAGCTTAAACAACTATCAGTATGCTACTCACAAATGGGGTGCGACTTGCATTTCTGTCTGGTCATATTCTTGGGGTTCCCAACCTTTCAGTTGGGTGCCTACACATGAAGGTTCAATAATCCATGTGCTACTGATAGACAGAAAATAAAAATGATACAAATAGGAAAACAAAAGCTGTTTATGGGAGGAAAAAGATTACTAATAGATGGGTATCCCAAAAGACAAGGGTCATACAATTTCAAAACAAATATTTCTAGCTAATTTCTATAAAGTAAATTTTTCTCTCCTGAGCTAAAGTAATTTAGTGAAGAAAGGAATTTATGGAGGGTTCAAAAGACTTTAAGTCTGCCTTAAATCTGATTTCTGTTGAATTAGGTATAGTGACTGTCTAGTTAACTCCCTGAATGTTTACATTTCAAAAACATGGCAAGATTTACATCTCCAGGAGACTGAGAAAGGCCTGGAGATTCAGGCTGAAGTGTCTTTTGTTTAAATTTGATTTTCCATATGTACCAATAGGTCAGATGGTTAAGATAAGAGCCCTCTAACATTTTTTTTCCTTTAACTATAACTAATTTATTTATTCCTAAGGTAATTCCAACAAATATAAGAACTACTTTACATACACACTTCCTTCTGTTAATATAGATTTGTAAAGATAACAGAGTCAAGAAGACACTGTGATCACCCACCCCAACCAGGCACTGCAGGCAGGGACATGAGACCTCAGAAAAAATGTTTGTCTTTCTTTGCTGGTTTTTTGTCAGTTTTCCCAGGATCCCATCTGCAGACTCCCAATAAGTAGAGTGATTTGTTCTCTTGGCTCACCAAAGCTGTAAGGGTGAAGAAAAGTTTTCTTCCCTCCTTCCTGGAGGCTTGATAATTTGAGTCTATAAAGCAAACTGACAATAGACGGATTAACAGAAAAGGCATACAGATTTGTTATATGTACACGTGTGCACGGGAGCTACACAAAACATGAGACTCAATGGCCAGATGAATGAAGTTGTTATACTGTACAGAAAGTGATAGGGGGGTGGGGTTCCTGGACAGTGGGATGGTATCAGCTATTTATAGAAGGGTGAGGGGAGGAAATACTTGGTGAGCAAAGGCCATCATGTTATAAAATCTTTTAGGTAATAGCCATCAGAAGAACTGGTGACTTCTCAGAACTTTATCTGAGAAGATAAAGATGTCTGGGGGTCATCTCAGAACTTTATCTGTCTTTAGGTAGATAAAGCGGCCTAACAGAAATACTTTAACTTGCATCTGTTATTTATCTTACCAAGATAGATTTAAATTCTTTTAATCAAAAGGACAGCTTTTTAGATATTTCTATCTTCAGTTCTCAAATTACCAACTCAGAATATGCCAAAGAAGTATATACTGGGGTGGCATATTCTGGCCTCCCACACCATACCCAGCTGCAAGGGAAATGAGAAATTTTAATTTTAACTATATGTCCACGTGTCCAGCTAAAGTTGGGCAACCCTCTTACCAAAAGAAAGAATGAATATTGGTGAAATGCAGTTGCCATACCATAATGTTTACAAGGATTCAGAAACTTAAAACATCATTTATACATTTTCTTTTATAAAAGATGAGATCCCCAAAGTAGTAAGCTCACTGTGATGACTAAAAGCTTTTGATAGTGTGCAGCACAAAACGTTAAGAAAATTTATACATACTTATTATTTCCATTTAATGTGTTTGTGTGAAATAAATTAAAAACAAAATAAAACAAATATGCTATGGACAGTATATTTTGAAAAAGCATGCCTGGAATTGTGTAGATTTTGTTGCCAAATAACATTCAAGTGAGTCACCTATTAAAAAAGTCTCTCATTTTCATACTTAAAAACATAGAAATATAATTTTTTAAAAAACTTAACAAATATTCCAGTTTTAATAATTTTTAAAATCTTTGTATTAAAAATAAACATTCAACATGTTTGTATTAATTTGGATAAATTAAGTTTTTATTAATGTATCAGAAGATTGAGTTTTTCCAGCCAAATTAAAACCTAAATATTTGAATATTGTAGATGGGAATAAAAAATGGGCCAACCATAAATACCTTCAATATGTATATACTTGACCTTTATAGATTTGTTTTTAGGCTGTGACAGACATTAAAATTCATATAAAAAATAATAGTTATTGTATTTATTAAAGGACTAACTTTTGTCATTAATTTTGTACTAGCTTTATATCAATATATAGCCTGATTAATGTTGTATCAATAATACAGTAAATTATTCATAAATATTGTTCATATAATACTTACCTAATTTTCATTTTATGTATATTTTATGCATATTTTATAGCATATGTAACAGTGGTATGGTTGGATATATTTAAACAACATAAGTCAATCAACCCACCAATACAAGAGGAGTGCAGTTAAAGTATTTTTAGTTATGTGGTGAACAACCAAAAAGGTTTGGAGAGCAGTGGTTTCCCAAATGTTGTATTTCCACCATAAAGATGTAGTGTGTATTTTTTAATGTAGATATAAGAGAAATATAGTGTACTAATATTTAATGCATGGATTGTCACTGGAAAACTCATATTTGGTATTTGTCAGAAGGTCCCAAGGTGTCCACTCTAGTTTCTGGATTAGAAACAAGAATTTACATGCTTTATGAGGGGTTATTACACTGTGTCATGAGCACCCTGAGGGACTAGTGGAACTGTTTCTTGGATCTGTGTCTCAGACTCTAGAAAATTCTTGCACTTTTATATCCAGCGTTATAGGGAGCAAGATACTAGCGGGGCAAACATACCTGACAATGTGTTGCATATATTCCTGCCCATCTTTTTATCAGTTTGTGTAATTTCTGAGAATAAAAACTCTGAGTTCCTGGCATCAGTGTTAGCAAGTTTATGTGAAGACAGTTATGCTTAATTGTAGTCAAGTGTTATATCATTAGTATGGACAGAGTGAACACAGAAGTACCAAATTTACTTTAGTGGATAAAGTTTGAATGGACAGGTTTCAAGTAAGTATCAAGAACAACATTGCTGGGGATAGAGGTATGCAAGGAGCATCTCTTATTAGGTTGATGCAAACTAGTTGCAGTTTTTGCCATTACTTTCAATGGCAAAACCACAATTACTCTTGCACCAACCTAATGATTAATACTTATGGTAAATGTATTGTGTGCCACAACTATGGTACCTCAGATAATACAGAGGTGGAAAAGGCAAAACCTGTCTGTATCCCAGTGGAGCATAGAGGGTTGGTTACTAGTGAAAGGAAGCATTTAGAAAAGACTCAAAATGTTTAATGCAGTTTTATGAAGGGCTACAAAATGAACATACAGAGTGCTATGTGAATGCCTAATGAGGACATCTTACTTAGCCTAGAGCTTCAGAGACGACATCCTTGGGGAGTGATGTGTAAAGGCCTGTAATGATTGGGAATTGAAAAGGCAGAGGGTAAGAGGCAACACTGGCAAGAGTAGGCATGGAACCATGGAATTAAGTGAAATAAAGTGTTTGTCAATTATAGAGTGCTTTTGAAATGTGAAAATTTACAGAAAGTCCTTAGTGGTTGCTATGGACTGTATTGTGTCCCCCGAAACCCCATGTGCTGAAGCTCTACATCCCTAATATGACTATTTAAAGATACGGCTTTTAGAAGGTAATCAAGGTTAAATGAAGTTATATGTGTGGGGCTCTAATCTGATAGGATTGGTGGCCTTGTAAGAGGAGGAAATGAATTCTACATCTCTCTCTTCCTCTCCCTTCTTTTCTCTCTCTCCCCTAGTGCAAACTCTCAGGAAGGACCACAGGAAGACACAGCAAGAAGGCTGCCATCTGCAAGCCAGGAAGAGAGCCATCACCAGAGCCTAACCATGCTAGTACTTTGATCTGGAACTTCCAGCCTCCAGAACTGTGAGAAAGCAAATTTCTGTTGTTTAAGTTACCAAGTCTATGATATTTTGTAATGGCAAGCCAAGCTGACTTAAACAGTTATTATCTAATTTATCCTCTGAACTGACTCTCATAATAATAATGTGATAAAGAGACTAACAGCTCCTATTGATTGCACACTTGCTATATATCTGGCACTGTTTTAGCTACTTTATGAAACATAACTCTAATTCTCAAATCAACCAAAAGGTGGGTATAATCTGTGCCTGCAGATGAACCAACCAAGTCTCACAGAGATGAAGTGATGGGCTCAAGATCACACAGCAAGCCAGAATAAAATTCAGACAGACTCCAAGACCAAAGATCTTCTCTCTTCTCCTGGACAGACAGTCATCTAGCTCTTCCTTGAATACCTCCAGTGATGACATTTCTTTCCAAGGTAGCTTGTTTCAGTGTTAAGTGAGAAACAGGTTCAAGTTGTGGTTTGTTTTTATTTTGTGTTCAGCTGAAACATGCCTCTGTATTATTTTTTTCAATTGTCCCTTGCCCACTCCTATAGTATTTTATTCTTCATAACAGGATTTCATCATCTTCTTTTGGTCTACCCTCTTTTAGGGTGAACCATATTCAATGAGTAATTCATTGTCTGTAGATTTGTTTCCACCTGTGAAGCCGCAGGACCTTGGTCCTCATCCTCAAATTGCCTTCGGTTCTATCTGGAGGTCTGCAAAAGAATTTTTAAGTTTTTAAGCAGTATAACCATGGGCCTCAGTTCTACTTGTATTCGTAGTTGTCTACTTGTTTATATGTTATCACTGCTCACCATGAAAAGCCCAAATTCATTTCAAAAGTATATACCAGATGCTACTGGGATTTCTAGAGCTTACAACAAACAAACAAACAAAATCAAGCAGTGCTATGGGCAATACCAAGAAAAGGTAAGGGTCATCTTTCTCAGCTTTCTGCCTTAAATTATCTTCAGATGCCAAAAGCTGCTCTCTATCGTCTCAGAAATTCCCCTCAATAGTTTTATGAGCTTCTTCCTCTTTTTCCTTAGTGGATGTATACTAATACATGGGACTGGTGGGGTAAAGATGCTATTATATCCTTCTCCTTTCTCCAGTTACCTCTTCCTTCTCTCACACACCTGCACCTGCCCCAAGGTTCTGCATTCCCATTTACAAACTAAAGCCCACATTCTTAGGAATGGAGTAAATATTAGATTTGGGCAAGATTGTGTTGGGGATAGGTACTGCAGTCAAGTACAAGAGGTAGCTCTTGGCTACACTTGCAGAAATTAGCTTAAAATGCTCTTTTTCGTTATTAGACAGTTTTCAGCTCATTTGCCACCCCAGTAGCCTCTTGGCATGTGTTTCTGTTTGTTAGTGCTCTTCTCAAAATGGAGCACTTATAATTGAACCTAATGTTCCAGATGTGACCTGATTAGGTCAGTGTACAATAGGATAGTTAATGCCATTCTTCAAAATCAAATCTAATCCAAGTAGCTTCCTGCTGCTTACAGCCCTCATCTGATTGCCTTTCTTGGTATTGACCAATGGAGCTAAATTTATATTGATGGCCTCCCCATGCCCCCGCCACCCCATCATCTCAATTTCCTTTCATTCAACTGATGCGCCAACTTCTCAGGATCCCTCACCATTTCCCAGTCTTTTCTTTGCATGCACAATTCTCTTTTTCTAGAATCTTCTTTTCCTCTTCTCCACCTGAAGAAATGTTTCTAGTTCTCCATTTCTCTTTTGTCTTAGACGGTCCTTCTCCTTCAGTCCCTTTTCAGTCTTACTTGTCACATTTTATTGTTACTATCTTTAAAGCATATGCACCCCAACTGTAAGCACTTTCCAATTACTGATGGCAGAAATCACGTATGATTCACTTTTGTTTCCCAGGCTTTTATTTTCTTTCTAGCACATTTGGATGTTCAGAATTTTTCACTTAGTTAATAAATTATCTTGGAATTAAGTTACATTATCTATTTAGTTACAGTTGCTTTGTTTTTAATATTCTATAAAATACTAGATGACTTGTTAGACATATTTTTAAAATTAAATTACTTAGCTTTTAAACTATGTTAATAAAATACCTATGTTAATGTTGCTCCCATGGCAACCCATTGTGGCAGAAATGGCTGGTTGTTCGTATTTTCCTAGGATTTTTTTGGGGAGAGATGGGAGGAGAGAGCATTCTAATAATCTGCCACTTGTACTATACCTTAAAGTTATAGAGTTTGAAACACACCTGGAGGTAATCACCATGATCATCTTTTTAAAGATAAGAAAACTGTGGCTCAAAAAATGTATTGGATTGCTGAAGTTTCCACAGCTAGTTGCTATACTATTAGGTTTGTGCAAAAGTAATTGTGGTTCTAGACCATGAATTTTAAATCATTATAACTAGGCTGAAACACTTCTTTATTAATCAAAATAGGAACCATCACAATAAACACATTATTGCCGACAAGAAATAAGTTTGTTTATTCGTGTAGTGGAAAAAGTCAGTGCTTCAGGATTCAACTCTGGAAAGCATTCTCTGTATCCTGCTGGTTGTGGAAGTGTTTTCCCTGCAAAACGTTGTGCAGGTGTTTGAAGTGGTAGTCGATTGGTGAGAGGGCAGGTGAATGACGCAGTGGATGACGCAAAACTTCATAGCCCAGTTTGTTCAATTTTTGAAGTGTTGGTTGTGTGATGTGTAGTCGGGCGTTGTCGTGGAGAAGAATTGGGCCCTTTCTGTTGACCATTGCTGGCTGCAGGTGGTGCAGTTTTTAGTGCATCTCATCAATTTGGTGAGCATACTTCTCAGATGTAATAGTTTCCTTGGGATTCAGAAAGCTGTAGTGGATCAGACTGGCAACAGACCACCAAACAGTGACCGTGACCCTTTTGTAGTTCAAGTTTGGCTTTGGGAAGTGCTTTTGAACTTCTCGGTCTAGACACTGAGCTGTTCATCACTGTTTGTCGTATAAAATTCACTTTTCATCACACATCATAGTCTGATCGAGAAATGGTTTGTTGTTATTGTGTAAAATAAGAGAAGATGACATTTCAAAACAATGACTTTCTAAACTTTCCGCCCAGCTCATGAGGCACCCACTTATCAAGCTTTTTCACCTTTCCAGTTTGCTTCAAATGCCAAACGACCATAGAATGGTTGGCATTAAGTTCTTCAGGAATTTCTTTTCTTTTCTTTTCTTTTTTTTGAGGTGAAGTCTTGCTCTATTGCCCAGACTGGAGTGCAGTGGCGTGATCTTGGCTCACTGCAACCTCCGCCTCCTGGGTTCACGCCATTCTCCTGCCCCAGCCTCCCGAGTAGCTGGGACTACAGGCTCCTGCCACCATGCCCGGCTAATTCTTTGTATTTTTAATAGAGACAAGGTTTCACCGTGTTAGCCAGGATGGTCTTGATCTCCTGACCTCGTGATCCGCCCGCGTTGACCTCCCAAAGTGCTGGGATTAGAGGCTTGAGCCACCACGCCCGGCCTCTTCTTCCGCGATTTCTTGTGGTAGTTTTAAGAGGATCAGCTTTGATGATGGCTCTCAGTTGGACATTGTCAACTTCTGACCGCCGGCCACTATGCTCCTCATTTTCAAGGCTCTCATCTCCTTTGCAAAACTTCTTGAACCGCCACTGCACTGTACGTTCGTTAGCAGCTTATGAGCAGAATGCATTATTGATGTTGTGTGTTGTCTCTGCTGTTTTATGATCCATTTTGAACTCAAAAAGGAAAATCACTCAAATTTGCTGTTTGTCTAACACCATTTCCATAGTCTAAAATAAATATAAAATAAACAACAAGTCATAAGTCATTAGCGCAAAAAAAAAAAAGCGAGAAATGCACATTAAAATGAGGTATACCATAACCACGTTTATTTAAGAATGTATTCCAATATCAAACAGCAAATTTCAACAATGCAAAAACTGCAATTATGTTTGCACCAACCTAACGGTACAGCTGGAATGAAAACCCAGGTCATGTCTAAGGTTGCTTCTTCTTCTTTTTTAACGTTATTTCTAATGTTACTATTAGATGCTACTAAAATAATGCTACTATTGTTTCTTATTCATCTTTCATAAACACACCGTTAGCCTCTTTTTATTTTTTACCGTATCTTACTTCACTTGTAGGATGGTTAGTGTTAACAGCACAAGATTGGAAGCAAACTGCCTAAGTTCATAATGCTGGCTTTGCATCTTTCTAATTTGGTAACCTTGGGAAATAATTCAGTCATTTGAGCCTCAGTTTCCTTATCTGCAAAATGGGTATACTAACAGTTTTTACCTCATATTATTGTGAAGATTAAGATATTTTATATAGATAAATCAATTTCATCACTATATATACAAGCCCCTATGTGTGTTTGCTGTAATTATGATAATCACCCACAGTTCTGTGCTCTTTTTTACCTGTCACCAACCTGTGTGGCTCCTTAATGTAATGTAACTGCTGTCACCATATCACAACCAAGTGACCAACATCTTGGATTTTCTCCTTGATAATTTTAAATAAACTTTTAAAGTGTTGGAATAATTTTAGACTTACCTAAAAGTTGCAGATACCATATTTACTGTATGGCCTTCATCCAGCTCCAGCTATTGTTAACATCTCATGTAACCACTGTCCATTTGTCAAACCTAAGAAACTAACATTGACACAATATTATTGACTAAATTACAGGCTGCATTAAGATTTCACCAGATTTTCTATGAATGTCCCTTTTTCTAGTCCAGAATCCAGTCTAGAATATCGAATGGCACTTAGTACTTTATTCTTTTTTATTTAATGCTCCTTTTAAAATGAACACTGATGATTGGACATGAGAGTGCTAATATGGGCTATTTTGTCCAAAAGAGAGAGGCACTATTACCTCTTTCATAACCAGTGTACTGAACGTCAAGGACACCTAATCACCCTAATCTCCTGGCAGAGACCAAAATGAACAGGCAGAGAAGATAATCAGTTTCCCTACTTGAAAGCTGCACTTTCTGCAGTCAGGGAACGCATGAGAGTAAACAGAGTGTAAAGAACAGAGCTGCTGATCAGAAAGTCTTGTTAGGCTTGTGGGATGTAGTCCAGGTAAATGACTCACCAGAAAAGAGAGTAAATGTGGGAATCTTCTAGTGTCTCCTGATTTTAGAGAAAGTTTATAAGGAGAGACATTTGTTCATTTATTCAAATATTTATTGAGCACTTACTATTGTCAGACATTATTCCTGGTGTGAGATATTGTTTAGAATTTGTGAAAACAATTTATTCTTTCTCAAATTGACTTCTTCCAGCAATGTAAATAAGAAATTAATTTTTTAAAAATTGTATTATTAATTTTAAATGCCTTGAAGATAACAAATAAATACATATATTCTTTTCTTGCATCATTTGATGCATTTTTTGGCTTTTTAATTTCACATATTGTATTAATAACAGTAGTGAAAGCATTAAAATTAAATATAATTCTTAAACCTCTACTGTGTACCAGGCACTGTGTTGTCTATTTAAATTATCAAATTAAACCTTTATTAAAATCCTCCGAAGTGGAGATTTACTGTTCCACTTTAAGAGGTGATAAACTATGACTCACAGAGCTTGGGTGAACTTCGTGATCTCTTGAATGTTAGAGCAGAGTTGGAATTTAACACCACCGTCTCTGAAAACTCACATCTTTAAGGCCAGGTTGCCTCATTCTGCTCTGAGTTGGGGGTGACATTGCCAAGCCTGATGGATGGTAAGGAGCAGAGACTTCCTATTCTGGTCTAAGTTTGAATCTGGTCATTTATAAGGGAAGCATGGAAAATGAAATGCAGTTTTGTTGTTGTGGTTGAGAGTGAGAAGTTATTGAAGGATGAAGGGAATATGAGGAGAGTGTTATAAAATGAAGGTTTAGAGAAGAGAGTTAATTTTCTGAAGAAAAAGTAAATTGATCAGAAGCAAAGTTAGTAAATCTTAAGGCTTTTGTGGCAGTAATAAAAAAGAACAAAACACAACACAGAAAGAAAGCTAAGAAACAGAACAGGCATGGCTTAAGGCCAGTGTGGATGGCCCCATGCCCTCATGCTATCTCCTGAGTCCCAGCTCTGCTCTCCTCTCTCAGGGGCTACCCTCTCTCAGAGGGTAGACCCTCTGCCTCAGACTGGGCAGCGCCCTGCAGAGGTCAAGGGTGGGCTTGGGCAAGCAATCAGAGAAGCAACAATAGCTCAAGTCGCTGCTGTACTATCCTGTGGCCTGGGCCCAGATTTCTGTTTCTCCATTTGGCAATGAAACTGCACTGAATATGACACATAACCTTCCTAGGCTGTGCTATTACTTGGTGTCCCATTAGGCCTCCTGGGGCATATGTCTAGCATGTTCTCTCAGAACAGAGTCATGATAGAGGTAGTCCCTTAATCTGTGCCATGCTTGCTTCTGACAAACAGAGGAGAGAGTATCAACTCCTCTATTGTGTTTTTCTCAAGGTAGTCCAAATCTCTCTCTTCACCTCAGTCTACCTCTGTGCTTTTATTATATAGACAATAGCTATTTTATAAGAATGCAGGGAATAATTATGATAACAACCATTGTGAGTGACCCCTTTTTTGTTGTTTGTTTGTTTTTGTTTTTCAGTGGAGAGGGAGGATCTAGGTTTTGAAGAACTTCTTAAGATCAAATTAGAATTTGGTCTTCAGGAGTATAATCCAACCTGAGAGTGGATTGCCCATAGTGAAATTGCTTTGGATACCATCTGATTGGATTGCTCTTCATTTTACAGACAAAAAAAGTTAAATGCTTTTCGTAAGACACAAAGTTGGCTGTGGGCACAGCTGTGACTCAAACTTAGATCACCTCATTTCCAAATTAGTGTTCTTTCTACCATGATATTGAAAGAGAAGAGGTGAAAAAAAAGAAATGGAAAATTCCACTTACAATAAACTTTAAATTTTCCCCCCAATTTGGTTGGAACCAAAATAAATAATTTGTCAAAACTTTAAAATAATTTTTAGAGGAAAATATCAACATTTTCCACTGTTCTTGAAAGTGTTATTAGAGGTCTGGGTGGTAGAAATGATTGGCAATTTTAAGATCAGGGAGAAATTTCTATTATGTAAGTCATATTTCTATGACAATGTCAAGCATTCTACTTAGTCATCTATTATATCATAGTTATTATCTTCCCTCAATGTCTAAGGCAATTCAACTCCATAAAATAGTAAAGAAGCTGTAGTGTCATAGGATAAAAAGGTATCAGGACAGAAATATCCGTTTCAAGTTCCTATTTGAGAAGCCACATAGTAACATGAGACAAATATTGACACCATGGGTAGGAGACCACCAACAATAATGCATTAAGGGCAAAACTAATGAGAGAGAAATAGGACAGAGCGTCATCTCCTTGCTTCATTTTGTGCCCCAGGCACTCAACTCTGAGAAATGCACCTGCCACTATGATTTTGTTACAAGTTGTGGTAGTTCTCCTTATTAGTGAAAGAAATGATGGTATTGGTCTCTGTTCTCATTTGCCATTTAGCTTATTATAGCTTGTTCTTATATAAGTTCCATAGGGAGTGTATACATGTTAAATAACTGTGCTATCCACAGTTGAATTTGTTTATTCTTAATCATTTTTGAGAAGAAGGGAAAGTTTCCTACTTTAGTTGTTGTTATTGCTCATGGGAGAAGATAAAACATCTATTTAGACTGGTAAGATTAACTTTCTAAGGACTTTGACTCTGTAAAATGAGGACACAGGATTAAATTATCTTAAAGATATTTTCCAGTGCACAAGCCACAAGATTTACAACATCTGTATATCACTATTTCCTCCCTTCCTAGTGATGAAAAGGATAGGTCTTGAAAATTTACGAGAAAAGGAAGGAAATACATACACATACACATTTTTTTTTCTCTCTGTTTCTCTGTCTCTTTCTGTCTTCACATACATGCAGACCACAAACTCTTTGCTGGAACTTGGACTGTATGGATTCTATAAATTATCTCATTTCATCCTTTCAGCAATCTTAAGAAGCATATAATTTTATTCGTTTTAAAGATTAGGAAGACAGATTCAGAGAGGATAATTAATTTGCCAAAACTCATACAACCATTGACAGAGATGAAAATACATTATGTGATTCCTAAATCTATGGCTTTATATGATACTAGAGGATCAGTTGAAAGGCATGGAAATTAGGTAAGAATGACAAAAGTCTTACCCAAGAAGACACATTGCCTTCATTCTGAAGTCTACATTTTCTTGCTCTTTCTTAACTCTTTCTTT